GAGAGGGAGAGGGAGAAGAGGAAGATATGGATGTTGGGAGTGGAAGATGGTGGTTTATTAATTTATATGCTGCCCATCTCACAGTCAAGGACTCTTTTTGTGTTTTGATTTAAGGGGAAAGCACAGACCAAGGTCTTTGTAAAGCCTCCTGGTCCTCCAGTTCCTGTGACAACTGATAAAAGTGGTTCTGTTGTTATCTCTGTTCATGCCAAACCAGGATCTAAACAAAATGCTGTAACAGGTAAGCTAGAGCATAAGTACCTATGCAACACTGATAGGGCTTTTGATAGACGTTTTGATAGACCCTATGCCCCAGCAAGGCTTCCTCAGTGAAATGATTTGAGAATGAAAGTTGTCTTGCAGTACTTGTAGTCTACGTATGATTTGAACTCAGGGCAATTGGTTGGAGACTGCACTTCTTAGAAACCAGGGAAGTGTCTGTAGCCATTTTTTTTGTTTGTGTCCTGGGATATTGGTGTTGTGATTGACCACATAGATCTTAGCAAATGTTCTGTAGACACTCCCCATAATGTGTTATTAAAATTCCAAATGTATCTGCTAATCCAAGAGTTTCAACCTTAGCAACTTTAACTGATGGCTGAGAAATTCTGGGAGTTGAAATTCACATATCTTAAAAGTTGCCCTGGTTGAAAAACACTGCACTAATTTGAAAAGGTATGGAGACCCTTGTAGTGATCCATCTTTCAGCACTCAACAGTTTTTTTCCAGATCTGTCTAGTGGCTTGTCCCCTTGAATAGTAAAAGACAGCAGTGTAGAGCAGAAGGGAAAGTATGCTATTCCTGAACCATGCCAAGTTCTAGAACAGATAGAAACATGCTAAAAAAAAAAGTCTTGTCCCCTGCAGAAGGAAATATACAGATCTAAACAAAATGCATTCCAATGGTAAATGCTCCCAATGGGAAGAAACTAATCCAAACAGTTTGGAAAAGTGTCAAGCCTTTTGCTTACTGCATAAATAGCTAGAGAAGAGGATTTTTTCACTCTGCTTCAGATCATAGAAACTCTTGAAGTGTTGATGTTGGTCTTTATTTACGGGAGGCATTTAAGAGAGTGGGTTAAGAGAAGCTTCAACTTGGCTACTCCATAGCTATGGCTATAAATCTCTTATCTAAGCTAATGTTGACATTACATACAGGGGAGAGATTCCACAGAGGCGGTTTTAGGGCATGAGTTTAACAGAAATGATGGCTACATCCCAAAATACTTGTTGCAGATCTGACCACCGATGCGGTAAGTGTGGCCATCGCAGCCCCTCCATCCGAAGGGGAAGCCAACGCAGAGCTCTGTCGTTATCTTTCTAAAGTCCTTGAAATCAAGAAGAATGATGTCGTACTGGAGAAGGTACGGTGTCTTCTCTCCTTTGCGTAATTCAACCTGGGTTTTTGAATCTTTCCCTTGTGCGCAAACGGGAAAAGAATCCATTTAGGAATCCCTAAACCTCTCTTGCTTGTGTTTTAAAACAGGGGAGTAAATCACGAGAAAAAGTGGTGAAAATTTTGGCCCCGCTGACTCCAGAGGACGTTTTAGAGAAGCTGAGGAAAGAGAGTTCCAGCTGAAGCTACGCGTGACCAAAGTCTTAACAAGTGGTTTGATGCAAAGGACGACTACCTTTAGGTATATGGGAGCTCACAAATACAAGTGGTGGAGAATCCAACAAGAAATCTGTAGACAGCTATAAAGCTTAATTTAAGATATTTTTTAAAAAAAGGGTTCGGTTATTTTAGCGTCATGATAACAAGGCGCAGAGTTATTTGAAAGAGCTTCGTCAGTCCCATCATGACATGTTTTTCAAGTCGGTTCTTTTGGAGTATGTTTGTTTAGCTCAGGGGTAGGCAACCTTGGCTCTTTTATGACTCGTGGACTTCAACTCCCAGAGTTCCTGAGCCAGCCAAGCACCAAGAAGAAGTGGGCCGGCTGGGTGGGGCTGTCAGTGCCCGAGGGGAGTAAGACATCCCCCCAAAATAAGACCTGGTGCCTCTTTTGAGGCCCCCCCCCCCAAAATAAAAAAATAAGACCCGGTCTTATTATCAGGGAAACATGGTATTTATCTACACACATTTGCAAGTTTTCAAACTGCTAGATTAGCAGGAACTGGGGCAAGGACGGGGGGCAAGGACGGGGAGCTCACCCCAAAACATGGAGGTCCCGAAATGGAGACATTTGGAGTCCCTTAAATCTCTCCTTCTCATCATGTTGGGTTTTTTTATTTTGTTTTTGGCTTGATGCTAGACAAAAATGCCTCGTTCCTGTGCCATGTTTTAAAATAAAACCGGCTGATATTTTTGTCAGTTGGATTTTATGATTTTTTAATCTCGTTTATTTTATTCCCATTGATGG